TAGATGTTTGTTTGCTGCCAAATGAGTGCGCGCGGAATGCTAATTGTAATTTGATTGCCTGCCGTTGGCCAAAACAAAACGATTTTACGGTTTGATGCCACCTTCAAGGAGGCTTAATTACCCAAGTATTTAATAAATAGATTGGCTGTTAAAAACTGAATTCCTTGAATCAGCTTACATCTCTGTTCTGTTTAACCATTAAATGTAATTGAAACCTTAGCAATAATTTTGTAACACATTCATCATATTGCATATGGCACTGTAATTTTCCCTATGCCGGATTAATTGTTAACTTAACAGAATTAAATGCCTGCGCATTGGGTTTCGTCGCAATTGGCTGCACTGCAATATGGCTCGGCCACTTTTTGCACCTGTTAATTATAATCCCTTTGAGCGTGCCGATGCAAAATTGCAAACTGGTAAACTGGTAAACCTGCGAGCCCGGCCAACTGGCAGGCGTGCAAGGCCAATCGCAGCCATTGTCCTGTTTTTTTTCCGCGGCTCTCGTTGTTATTGTTATTCGATGGCACTTACAAATGCGAGTGAAATTCATTGGCCCCCCGCAGCGCCCCTTCCCCCACACAACCACCGCTCCACACTCTCACCTGGATGTCGCACCTGCTGAGTGCTGCTGCATGCTGCATGCCGCATGCTGCAAGCTGGATCCTGGCTCCTGGATACTGGAAACTGGATGCTGGATGCTGAATGCCGCACTCCGGCTGCCACGCGCATTATTTCAAACAATTTGCCCTGTTTGTGCCACCGGACAAATGACAAAAAGGACAAATGGCACAAAATATTTTGCCAGCATCCTGGTGCAGGCAATCGGAAATGTTGCTAAAGTTCTGCTAGACACACTCACACACACAAACAAGCTCACATCCCAGCGGGAAAAAGATGTGGAAGATATGCTATTTTCCAGAGATTTCTTCATACAAGCGGAAGGGCAAAAACCTCCTTCACCCCTTACATTTTTGCCGTCTCTCCTTTCAAAATACACGGGGGTGACACACAAAAGGAAGGGGTAAAGGAGGTTTCTATGTAAAAATCCACAGGTTTCAGAAACCCACCCTTATTTAGCGGACCGAAATTTTTAACTCCTACCCCTACGCCTGCTAAAAGAAGCAGGATTTCCAGTAGTCTTAAAACCGAAAACCTACTTCTAAAAACCTACTTCTCACTTTCCCGCTGGGATGCCCCGCAGGCCAGCACACACACACTCACACACACTCAGACAGAGAGAGACGCAGACAAAAACAGAGCCAAAAAGGGCACAGGATATGCACAATGTATGCACTGAGGCGAGGCTTTGGCGGCTTAGCCACGCCCCCCGCCCCCCACTGGGCCCTCCAGTCGAGTGTCCTGCGCTGCCTTTTGCGCCTGCAGTGTTTGTTTTAATTTAAATAAATGAGCTTAAGCGCACTCACAGCTCGTGATCCTTTAAGGCTCTACGCCCGCTCCTTATTTTATTTGTCCTTGTCGCCGGCGCTGTCTCCGCCGTCTCCTTTGTTGTCCTTATTTAGCTGAGCTGGCTCTGTAGGGCGACCCATCGCCATCTCCATCTCCATCGCCATCGCCATTGCCAGGATATGCAAGTGCTAAGCATTTTTAAGTCAAATTGCTTTGCCGAACATTCTGCCATTTGCCTGCACGACTGACCCGGCGAGTCCTGCCTGGATCCTTCCCCCCCTGCTCATCGTGCCCGTCCTGCCGGATCCTGCCGTGCCGCCGTTTGCCCCGGCTTTTCCGCTTTTCCGCTGCTTTCGCGACGCGTTGCTGACGTCGTCATCGCACTCCAACTCAAGTGTTTGCCGTTGTTCTTGTTGCACTGGCTTTTGGCCGGAATAAAAGGGTGCTTTCGATTTGGCCAGCCGTTTTGGCCAACATCTGAACAAAGGCTTCGCAATAAATTAATTTTTTACGTATCACCACTTTAGTTTAGTTTATAATGCGGTTGAGAGTAGCTAACAAAGCAAACAAGCGAGCAAAACTCTTTGTTTAGTCCACAAAGTGATTCGAGCTAATTTAAAAATGCTAAAAAAATTACGAATAAATATATGGTTTTATTATATCATTTTTAACGACAAATAATCAATGGCAAAGCTGAACTTAAACAGCTTGTGGTCGTGACGCTTTAATTTAAAATTGCATTTACGGTTTTTTGGTTGACCTGAATATCGGAAATTTAAACCAATTAAAGATAAATATTTAATTTGAGCAAATGGCGTGTGCAACCAACATTGTTCTTTAAAGAATTATAATGAGTGACATATATCCTTGCTGAGCATTAGCAAAAAGGATCATGCCCCGAGAAACGTAGGGTAGAAGTGACTTCGAATCTTTGAGCCAAACTTCCTTTGGTGTTGTTGTTGTAATGGCTCTTGTTTTTGTTATTCACGCTTCTGCTGTTTTAGTTGTTGTTGTTGCCGTTAGTAGTGGAACTTCAAAAGGCTTTTCCGCTGTGTTAGTTCGCTTTGCTGTCGCCTTTTGCTCCTTTCACTTGCTCCGGCGACCTCTCGCTGCCACTTGTCGAGTTTCTCTTTCTTCCCCGCCCACGCACACACTTTTCATACCCCCCCCTCCATCCACGCCCCCTTGGCGTTTTCCCGCCCCTCAGTTACCCCCTCGACAGCACTCCTTTTGGCCAGGCCTGAAGTTTACCTTTGCTGCAACTGCGCTGATTTGCAGTTTCTTCTTTTCATTTGATGGGCGCAGCTTTTTGTCATGTTTTTTCTAGCCCATTCATTCTTCTCTTTGCCCAGTTTTTCCAGCTTTTCCAGCTGCTCTCTTTGCGCCGCTTCTGTTTACACAGCAAATTTATTTATTTTCGCACTGTGGGACGCTCTTAAATATTCCGTCTTTTGAGTGCTAATGCAAATGTTGTCTGCCGGGCGGGCAATCAGTGGAGAGGCAGGGGTGGAGGGTGGAGGGGTTTTTGGCCAGAGGCAGCAGAAATCACTTGAAGTAAGGACCGAAGATTAACTGGGAATTTGCCATGAACCAGGGCAAATATTTTGTGTGATGGAATGGGGCGACCGTAAGGAAACCATTCAATCGGAAGAGGTTTCTTTGAACACCTCTAATTAACTGTAAACTAATGCAACGTGGCACTTGCAGAAGTATGAATATGAAGGCCGGAAAACAGAAAGATACCTTTCTGAGTAAATATATCAGAAGAGTCCTTTATGCGAGCCTCCTCCCTCGATTAATCTAATAATAACCAGGAGCGAGAACTGTTTGCAGCACTTTATAGCTTCACATTCAGATTTAAATTCGAACAAGCCTGTTTAATGCTTTTTGTGTAAATATTCAATAAATTCGCCAGATAAATCAAATTTAAATGCATCCATTTGGATGCAAATTATATTATTTGGCTGGTGTTCCTTTCCGAACATTTATTCAACTTTAAATAAAACAAAAAATAGTTCGAAAGGAAGTGTACACATGAAAAAGGAAATGCTGACATGTGCAGCTATTTAGTGCAAATATAATGGCGTTTAGTGGAAAAGGAAGTCAATAAAGCAAGATCTGAGTCCTGATATGTAAATTTAGAAATTTAATTTAGATAGCATGTGTGTGCAGAGGCAGATGGAAAAATCGAATGCGATTGTCCAGCTATAAAACTCACCCTCATAGCCAACAATGGGGTAACCACTTCAAATACAATGGGCTGGGAGTATAATTGAATTTAATAACCGTGAGGTAATCCACTTAGCAGGAGAGCAGATTGATTCCCCCTCCCCCCAATCCGCATCCGCATCCACATCCGCATCCGAATCCCCCAACGACTCGCCGGCTGCAAGCTCGAGTGCATCCCACGCCAAGTAAACTTCCCTCCCAGCAACATTCTGAAACTCTAATTTAATAAGTAAATCACATTTCCGCCTTTTGAATGTCGCCGCGCCAAACTCCGGCGGAGTTTGTGGGGAGGCGGAACCCGGAACCCGGAGTTTTCCAGCTCGTAGCTCGCAGCTTTCCCAGCTCTCAGCTCCCAGTTCCCGGAGCATCGCATTGACACCTCGTCAGAAGTTCGCAAGACATCGCCCGGCGACTTGCTAACTGGTTTAGTGCAAATTCACTATTAGGAGAGCGCTCAATTTCACACTGGAATTAAATTACAGCGCATGGCGATGTGGCAGGTGGGCGTGGGCGTGGGCGTAGGGTGGAGAGTTTGTGGCGGGCCTTGGCGCCGCGGCAAATGAGCGAACACCTCGTTAGTTTGTGCGCGCCTCGAAACTTTTTTAATATTTACATTCATATTTTGCACCTTTCGCCTTTTTAACCGCTCCACGCGCTCCTCCTCCCAAAATCGCGCGGCCTTCTTCTTTTATTGCAACTTCTGCATCCTGCAGCATCCTGACTGCTGCTGGACGGACCAAGGATGCTGCCGAGTCATAAATTTTTGTTTGTGTTGAAAATTGCATTTGCCTTTTACTTTGTGTCGAGGCTGAGCCGCGGATTCCGAATTGGTGGCGAAACGAGGGTGGTGCACTGTAAGAAATAAAGTTAATTAACTTTGATGAGCTAACTAAAAGCATATTGACTCTAGAAAACCTAAAGCAATGCAACCATACTTTTTAAAAACATTTCAAAAACTTAAAAGTAATAAGGATTGCTATTAAGTAAACATTTTTCTCAGTGTGTTGCATTGCTGTGTTGGTGGGATTGAGCTTGCCCGGCAGCCATATTGGATGCCCCTAAAAGCAGGCAACGTCAAATTTGTTGCAACGCTTGATAATCAAGTTAGCGACGGGCGACGCTCCTGCCACCACCCGCCACGCCCCCTTTTAGCGCCCTCCGCCCCCGCCCCCTGCAGGCCCTCTCCCCCCTTTTAAAGCACTCAGATTGAACAGCCTGTTAGCCTTGTGTCCGACTCCTCGTCTCCTTTTTTTTTTGGCTTTATCGCGATATAAATTTAAACCGATGATTCCGCTTCGAACTGGCAGTGCGATTCTGATTCAGATTCTGATGTTTTGCTCGCATTTCTTGTTTACTTGCAGATGTCAATGGGCGTGGCAGCGGGAGGAGAGGCGGACCAGCTGAAAATCAAAGCCCAATTGGCACAAACACGCGGTAAATAGAATTCGCAATCGCAATCGGAATCGAAATAGGAATTCACATTCAAATTCAAATGCAAATAGAAATAGAAATTGCCACGAGACCCCCACAGAACAAAAAAATAGCAACTAAAATACCCATAAAATAATAGGAAAACAAAGAGTGCCAAGAGAAACAGCTGCTGCAGCAAATAAAAGAACCGCAACAGCAATAGCAGCAGCAGCAGCAGCAGCAGCAACAACAACGAAGGCACAGCATAACAACTGCGGCAACAACAACAACAACAAAATGGAGAAGCTGCTGCAATCGACGCTGTTTGTCATCCTGATAATGGCCACAAAATGCGGCAGTGGCTCGACCCAGAACCAACATCACGGTAAGTGGGCAGGACGATTTAATTGCGAGCAGGTCCTTACTTCATGTCCTTGGCCCTCCCTTCGCAGAGAGCAACTCTCAGCTGGATCCGGATCCGGAGTTCATTGGCTTCATCAACAACGTCACGTATCCGGCAGGACGCGAGGCCATCCTGGCCTGCTCAGTGCGGAATCTGGGCAAGAATAAGGTATTTCCTTACCACACTTTAAATATATAATATATCCTTTATATTATAAGTGATATTGTACTACCAGGTGGGTTGGCTGAGAGCCTCCGATCAGACGGTGTTGGCTCTGCAGGGTCGTGTGGTCACCCACAATGCGAGAATCAGCGTCATGCACCAGGATATGCACACGTAAGTATTAAAGGAGTTCCTCATCGAAATTATAAAACCAAAAGTTAACTTACCAACCTATTAGCTGGAAACTGAAGATCAGCAAGCTGCGCGAAAGCGATCGAGGCTGCTACATGTGTCAGATAAACACGAGTCCCATGAAGAAACAAGTGGGATGCATAGACGTGCAAGGTAAGCTTTCCTATTTCTAACTCATACATACTATATCACTTTCACCTTAACAGTTCCACCGGATATCATAAACGAAGAGTCCTCCGCCGACCTGGCCGTTCAGGAAGGCGAGGATGCCACACTCACCTGCAAGGCGACGGGGAATCCCCAGCCGCGAGTCATTTGGCGCAGGGAAGACGGCGAGATGATTCTCTTCCGCAAGCCCAACAGTCGCGAGTTCATGAAATGTGGGTATCCAAATGCCTCAGCAGATAAACAAGTTAATTCCTATAATGCTTTTTTCTCTTCATCTCAGTGGAATCCTACAATGGATCCTCGCTCAAGCTGCTCCGTCTGGAGAGGCGGCAGATGGGCGCCTACTTGTGTATAGCCTCCAACGATGTTCCACCTGCCGTCAGCAAACGAGTCTCGCTAAGTGTGCAATGTGAGTCATCAAATATTTACCCTGCTAATGTAATATTAAATGCAGGGAGTAGCTTTGACAAAGTGGCACAACATGTACCTCCTACGTGCAATGCCTTTTAAAAGATACCCTTTATACCCTTTGCTTGAATTAAGAAATATTTTTGCTGATTGATTTATGATATTTGTTATTTAAAAATTCATCACTTAAAAAGTCAGTGCCGTGAAGAGTGAAGATAATAAATAATCTTAATTTTACGCTACGTTGAAATCGATGAAACACCAACTCTCCAACTCTCTGCTTCGCCCCCAGTTGCTCCCATGGTGAGGGCCCCCAGCCAGCTGCTGGGAACGCCGCTGGGCTCCGATGTGCAGCTGGAATGCCAGGTGGAGGCCTCCCCCTCGCCCGTCTCCTACTGGCTGAAGGGGGCGCGGACGTCCAACGGGTTCGCGAGCGTCTCCACGGCGAGCCTCGAGTCCGGCTCGCCGGGCCCCGAAATGCTGCTCGACGGGTAAGTTCGGGGAATTCCGGTCGGCAGACATCAGTGATACATGTCCGTCTCCATTCCATTCCATTCCGCTCTGACATCCTGGCTCCGACTCCGCCTCTGATTCTGATGCGATGCCAACCCATATCCAACGCAGACCCAAGTACGGGATAACGGAGCGGCGCGATGGCTATCGCGGCGTTATGCTGCTGGTGGTGCGTTCCTTCTCGCCCTCCGACGTGGGCACCTACCACTGCGTCAGCACAAACTCGCTGGGCCGTGCCGAGGGCACATTGCGGCTGTACGGTGCGTATACGCAATCTCTGCTCCGCCATCTCCGGCTCACCGCTTTTAATTTGTTTTGTTTGTCCACGCTTGCTTTTTTCTCGATTCTGTGTTCTGGGTTCTGAATTGTGGATTCTGTATTCTGGATTCCGGGCTGCAGAAATCAAGCTTCATCCGGGCGCCTCCGCCAGCAACGATGATCATCTGAACTACATCGGAGGTGAGCCCCGTATTTGAATAAATTAAAATTTCCTTCAGTGCGAGAAATTATAAAATCCTAATTTTCATTGTCAGGTCTCGAGGAGGCGGCTCGCAACGCGGCAACGCGGGGCAGCCGGACGACGTGGCTGCCGCTGCTCGCCACGCTAATGCTTCTGTGGATGCGGCTGAAACTGAGGGTCGGGGGAGCGTGATATCAAAACTGAGAGAAGAAGAGCCGGCAATCAAGTATTCCTACAGATTCCCTCGGACACCGACAGCGACATAGACATCGACATCGACATCGACATCTTTCTCTCTCTCCATCGCCGCCTGCGTTCTTGTTGTTCGTTTCCGTTTCCGGTTCCGTCTCGGTCTCGGTCTCTGAATCCGACTCCGACTCCGAGTCCGACACCTTCTCCCCGACTCCAACGGCCGCCCACGCACACATACTCGTACATATTGCCGGAGGCGCCGCCCGCTGCCTCAGATATCATTTGCATACGTATCAGGAAACGCGTTGTTCCCACCCGCTCAGCACCCCAACCCCTGCCAATCCCCGCCAACGCCCCCAAAACCTGCCAACCTGAAGAGGATATCAAAAGTGGACTATTGGAAGCCAAGCCCTACCTTCCCCTGCCCCGAATAATGTTACATTGCATATAAATTAAATATGAATACTATAAAATAGTGCATAAAATTTATTATCATAATATAAATAACGACAAAATTATTGAATAAATTATCGCAAAAGAGGAAAAACCGAATGGAAGACCGCTTTTCTTCACTTCCGACAGGGTTTCCTGCGCCACTGGCCTGACCCACTGATCCATTTTCTGGCCACTGTTCTCCGGAAGGTAAGCGGTAAGTGGTGAGAAGGGGATCGGTGGGCGACTGAAGGACTTACCCCACTGGGTTCCAAGGAGCACGGGACAGATGGCCTGCAAGCTGCGAATGTCGCATTTCCCCGAGTTATCAACGTTGTGCCAAACCAAGGCCGATCCACGACTGGGCTTTAAGCCAAAGCCCAGATCCGGAAAGGAGGCGTAGCCGCCCATCTGAACTTCAGAGAGCTGGGAACAAAAACCCTTATATTTAACTTTAATGTATTAAAGCTAAGAAACTTACGTAAAGAAGAACTGTCGCCGTGCGGTACTCTTCTTTGAATGGCTCATCAAACTTCTAGTGTGTAGTATTTTCTATATTGTTTAATAAAGAAAGATTATAATCCACACATACCTTAGGCTGCTGGCAGTCAAAATGGATGTACTGCTGTCCTCCAATGCCAAAGTTGGAAACTGTTAGTGGTTCACTGTTTTCCAACTCAAGTCCTGTCATGTCCTCAATCCTTTGGTGGAGAATCTTCACATGGCTTGAGGCATTCGCATCCAACTCAGCATCCTCTTGCTTCTGTTCAAACCTTGATCTTGTAAGGGCAATTAAATCCTCCTGCTCCTCGAGTGAAACAACATCATGGTAGAGTCCGATGAAAGGCTCAAGGTTGAGTTGTTCAAGCTTCAAAGGAGCCAGTCGCAGAAATGGTGAGCCTTCTGTAAAATACTGACAACGAAGAGAGGAATTCTTTGGAAGAAGGTTTTTCCCCCGACAGTTGTCCAAATGAACAAATATGTGCCTCAAATTATCAACCAAGTGATCGGCCAGACTGGTATTATCATCTTTGGAGGCCCACTCGATTGACTTTTTAAGAGCATCTTGACTCGCCGGCAGGTCGTCTAAAAATAAACCATTTAAAAGTGAAATCGCAGTTTGGTTTTTAACTTGATTTACCCTTGGAAAGCAGAATTAGGCCTAAATGTTCATAGATTTGGGATCGTCCAGTTTGAAGCAACCTATTAACAGGGTCCAAATGATCTTCGTACTGCTTGAGGGAAACGTTCAACCACTTGAGGGCCAATTTGTCCTTTTGCTGGTTCTCCAGATGAGTTGCCAAAGCGAGGCAATCTGCTGCACTGAGCCGAGAGCTTTTGGAAAACATTTCAGATTTGGCTGATAAAGATTTTATGAAACTCACTTGTACTGTTTGTCATACAGTTTTCCATTGGCCATTTCACTCTCGTTCAGGCCGTAAACCCCCTGAAAGCGAATCAATCCAGTTGCAGCCATTTTAAGATCCGTTGCTGAAATCCTGAAGTCCTTGTGTAAAAACTTTTTAAGAGAGCCTGTCCAGAAATCGGTATAGCTTGCATAATAATCAAATTTAAAAATATTTAGCCCTACCCTGATTTATATCTGGCTTAGCGAACTCCAACCACTTGTGAGCATCCGTGTGCATTCGCCGTATCAAGGGATAGCTTATTAAAGGATTCGCCACATAGGTCGTAGGATCAGCAGGACCTTTCATTCTTCTAGCTGTCCACTCCTTATAAAAACTTTGGCAGTGATTCCATCAATGTAAAAAATTAATATTGAGAGTCTAATCATATCTCTTACGTTCGCATTGTGTTTATTTTTTGTTGCAACTCCCCTGCGTACTGCCGCATAAGAGCAATAAGTTCGTCTTCTACTTGAACCAGGGAAGCCATTCCCCGCGTTGATGTGGCATAGTACATGTCCTCAGCATTAGTCACTCCAACAAGGAAAACCAGCCAGTAGATGTTCATTATTATAACTGAATGAAAATATCCCAAGCACCTATTATATGCACATTACAAGCAGAGAAATTTCAATTTGTTCAGGTACTATAGATTCTAGAGATGTTCTGCACCGTTGCATCGGCTAAAACCGACATATTCAACCAAACCTCATTTTGAGGTACCAGGCGAACAGAATGCAGTAGTAGGCTGCATTTTGGCTACTCCTAAGATTTTCCAGATGCTCCCAAAAGTATACTCCAAATGTTGCGTCAGCACAATTTGCATGAGCCCCCAAAAGGATACTAAAATTTTGATAGATTAAGAAGACACCGCAGCTTACTGGCTAGGAATCTACTCCCAGCGAGACCTTTGAGACGTCTCAAAAGGCAAGGCTTTGCCAAGACGATAAGGAATCAATAAGAACATACTATATATAATCCTCATCTTAATGCTGAGGCTTGGTTTACTTTTCTCATTGGTGACACCTGTGTTGTTAAAGTACTTTAATTTGCTGTACAGATTCTGCACTAAATAAATAAATAAGAAAAATAATTTTGGGACAATCGATGTCTTGTGAGACTTGGATGCGAGTCTAGTCAATTAACTAATCTTAAATTTAGAATCCAACACTGTGTCCCCGTTCGCTGTATATCCGAATGGTTAGGATATGCCGAGACCCACCGACTCCGTTTTATAATTTAAAACAAGATCTTACAAATTCTTTTTTATTTAAGATTTATTTCAATTTTTAATAACTTGACATTTTTTATCTTATATGCTGGTTGATCGGGTTAAATTGCAAATAATGTAATTTATAATTAATATTTATGTAATATTAAACTAACTCACAATCATTTGAATTAAGTATGTATGGTATATATTAAAATATACTCTAGGGCTCGTACGATGTGCATGTGTGTATGCGTGCGTAGCAATGTGTGTGTGAATGGGTTGATCCTTCGATATTCGATATTCGATGGTAGAACGAAAACGAACAAAACAGACCGGCGGCGAGTTGCACACACTTGAAAACGTATTCTAAGAGAGATGACTCCGGGCTGCTACTGCTGAATTTACACAAATGCGCTGCGATCGCCGTAGTGCACACAGGGCGGCATAACAATTGCTCTTTACATTTACAATTATCCGTACATTCGTACATTCGGGGGCGGTGTACATAATGGCTTGCATTAGCTTACAGTTCACGCTCTCGAAATGGCGTATTAATTACAAATTAGTCGGGGGTCCCAATGCATGACAGTGAACATATGGGGATGCATTTCAACTAGCGTGTAAGCGACTTTCTTTTCTTTCCTTATTTTACACTACACTTGTTACTCCATTAGTCGGTTTTGCAGTCGGTCGATCGGTTGTCTCCTTCACTTCCTTTGGGGCGCACGATTTAGGACATTTACAATTAGGTTCAAGGTTCAAGTGTCGGGAGGACGCACCGCACTATCAATATTATACACGATTTGGTTATCATTACAGAACAATCACTGTTGGCGGGTATGGTACAATACACAAGGCGCGGCGAGCGCTACACAGCTCCAAATGATGCACAGCAACAGGTGCACGAATTGTGGGGAAACAATGGATCAAAGGGGATCGATGGATTTTTGTATAATAACATCTATACAAGTCAAGTTCAAAATTGTAGTAAAAGACTTTAGCTCTTAAAGTAGGGTTCTGCCGCAGAGTGGCTGGTCTACTCTGCGAGGCCGGTGCAAGACGTTGCTGGACGACTGCTCTGAGTGTATGCGTGCATGAGTGGGTGCTTGGGCAGCGCCGTCTGTCAACAATAACCAAATCGCTGTAATTCTCATCTGGAGAGGCTGTGCGATCGCTCGCGGCTGCTGCTGCCCGACGAGAGTGGCTGCTTGTTGCTCGCCTCACCCACTCGGTGGTGCGGGGGCAGCCTGTCGAAAAAAGGGTGGCGCAGGGCTTCACCTGGAACGAATCAACAAGAGGAGGATTAGCATGGCATGGAAGTCAATCGGATCGGGGGATGGCAGCTTACCTAACGTGATGCGCGACGAGGGCTCGTACTCCAGCATCTTCTTGATCAGGCTGAATAGCTCGCAGTGGTCCTCGCTGTCGCTCAGCTGGCACAGGAACAACGGCTTGCAGTGGTCGCGCACGTAGCGACCCGCACTGGACTTCTCGTCCCAATCCAACTTACCGTGGTAGAAGTACTTTGTTTTGGTTTTGCTATAAAGAGTATGGTTGCTACACGTTAAACGATTTCGGTGAAGGGAACTGCGCCTTGGGAAATAAAAGCATGAGCTGCATTGTATTACCGTGCCATGCGATATGGTATTTGTCCCAAGATCCGCTCCATCATGGCCAGGTGCTCGCGGTTGTCGTGCGTTTGGAAGAGCGTGATGCCCAGATACAGTTCGAACAAGATGCAGCTGTTGGCGAAATTTCGAGTTGATTACTCAATGTGCGCACTCGTGGAGTGGCAAGCGCTTACCCAATGGACCAGACGTCGCAGGGCTGCGACCACCCCAGCTCCAGTATGACCTCGGGCGCGCGGTAGTGTCGCGTCGAGACAATTGTGCTGTGGTGCTCGTGGTCGAAGGTGGCCGACCCGAAGTCGATCAGGCGAACGTCCGTGTTCTTGACGCGGCGCACCTCGCGATTCTGTGAGTGAAAAGGTATTCATAGGTCTGGGTGAACTGATCAGTCTTGAGCTGTCTTTACTTACAATCTTATGATTATAGTGAGAAGTGTAATCCGAGTCCACAAAAAGTATGTTCTCTGGCTTGAGATCTGTGTGCGTTAAACGATTGTCATGAAGAAATTTCACAGAGTAGCATAATTGATAGGCCATGTGGCGCACTTGGTCCAACGGGTATGGCTCATAGTTGTTCTCACGCTGCATAAAACGAATAGGAACTTTATCTTACAGAATTCACTTTAGAAATCATCATTCCACTTACCAAAAAATCGAAAACACTAAGCCCCAACATTTCAAAAACTATACACATGTGTCCATGATAATCAAACCAGTCAATCATTTTCACGCACAGGCTGTTCGAGTAAAAAGATTGTTTAATAAAAATATAATAAGACAAAGAGTGGATTTCATGACTCACTGATCGCAATGCGGATCCTTCTGTGCAATCTTTTCCAAGGCATTAATCTCCAGCTTGGCAGCTTCGCGGTACTTTTCCACGTTCTTAATAATCTTTAAGGCCATGCAATAATCACTGGAAGGATTAAAACAATTTAGCATTGGTTTACTTTATATAAAAGTAACTAAACTTACCGCTCCATGTCTTTGACCTTGACCACACGTCCGAAAGTTCCCTCGCCCAGTGTGGCCATGATCTTATCTGAAATTCGGGAAAAGGATAGCGAGTTGTAGTAGGGCTTCGGACAAGTTCAAAAGGAGTGTTAAACGTTAGCTGTCTGTTTTATTTTCTCTTGTTCTAATGCTAATCCTGAAGCTGTAACTAAGTTTTCGATGAGGGCTGGGCAAGAAACTAGTTTGGACTCTAAGCGGAGAGTGTGTACGGAAAGAGCTTGTATTTTCAGTATTATTTCGTAATTTATACGCCAAAGTTCGTGTTCGGTTTATGTGTGAAAACTTCCCAGTTGAAACTTGTGGTTGGGGAAATTTTGTAGCCGGTAAAAGATAAACTTAGGGTCGTCTAAGGCAAATTTCGGAAGTTGAAACGGTTTTCGCGAAACTGACGAGAATTGTGTGAAAACTTTCAATTGTTGTTTTGTCCTTCTCTTTTTTTTTTGTATTTGGTTCAAAATTGTCGTAATTTCCCGATTGCACGCGACGCGATTTTGGTCTTGCTGTGAGTTAATTAAGAAATAATAAAGAAAACTTGGAAATACTTCAAACTAAAAGAGAGTTATTAGAAGAAAGGAGAGAGTAGTGTGGACTGGTGGCTTAGCCTCTCATTATTTTTTGTAACTTTTTTGTTTCTGATTGTTGTCTAAACATAAGTATGGAAAAATTAAAAACCAAAAATTGTCACGAACATCTGTGATGGAGAATGTCTCCGGTGTGGTAAATTAAGTGACCATCAGCATCATCTTGAATGACGGGCTTTGCTGTCTGTTCGAGCAATCGATCGGGATCGGGATCGGATCGGATCGGTTCGGTTCGGATCGGATCGTTTTGGAGCGGAGCGGAGCGATCGACGACGTAACGTAGGGTGGTCGTTGCGGTGGTTGCCGTTGTTGCACGCAGCGGGTGGGTGGTGGTTGCGATTGGTGGTGGCGAAGATTGCGATTGCGATTGCGATTGCGATTGCGTTGCGGGAGGTGCATTTCGGTCCGTTGAGAGAAGCGAGAAACGGCGAGCGGAGAATTTGCGAGCGAGAAGTTGTTGGGGGCGTTGTTGTGGTTGTTGTTGTTGTTGCAGTTGCAGTTGAAGTTGTTGATGGCGGGGCAGTTAACAGACGTACACAGAAGGTGCGTGTGTGCGTGTGTGGCAAGAGTATGTAATTTGAAAGAGAGAAAAAGAAACAAAAAAAGAAAGAGAAAAAAGAAACAAAAATTTATATTTTTCCAGGGGTTCCAAGGGTTCCAGGGGTCGAAGGTCGCAGATGGCAGGTCGCAGGACATCAGGTCAACATCCGATTTCGGAACATCCCACGTTGGCACCATTAGCAATCGCATTCCGTTCACAAGTCGGCCGCAGATAGCCCGTTAACCAACCAACATCATCATCATTTCATCATCCCCATCGAGTTGTGTATGTACATCATCATCATCAACCCATCATCATCATCATCATTGTGATTTTCATCATCATATTCAGAAAAAACACGAGAAAAATACGTTTCGTTTGTTCGATAAGAAAATTAGTTCGGACAAATTTTTGAGATTTGTGTTTACAAAAATGGTTAATATCAAAACATGTACAAACAATATCATATATAATGGCATATAGGTATATATCGAAAATGGCATATATAACGAGTTATATATATTTATAGATATGTATAGGAAATGCACCAATAGCTGTGCTCTTGTTTCACGGGCAACAAAAAACAACAAACCATTTTCGGGGTTTCCAGCTTTTAGCTTAGTAATTCAATTAATGGCTTCTTGGCAATAATTCGTGAGTGTAAGTGGTAAAAGAACACATATAGTATGGTATAGTAGGTCTGTCGGGGTCAGAACACATATGTATCTTACGTTGCTTCCTAGTTTTAGTCTCAAATCATCGCATGCAAGCAGGCTGAACATTGCAACAATTAGTAGAACATCAACAGGGATCAGGGAACAACATGGAACGCAATCCGCAGTGCTGTTAGCTTTCTGTAGTAGTAGGTCGACTGACTGTCTGAGAAGTAGATGGGATGGGGATGTAGGTGGGGCTCCCGAGATGGGGAGTGATAGGCAGTTAGAAGAGGCGGCGCCAACAAAGCTCAAGCTGCAAACTAAACGGCCAGCCAGCCAATCCCCTCAATGAGTGGCTGCAACTGGGAACCACTGCTTACAAAGGTCGAGAGTGTCTTTGGAATGCGGGACCTGCTGAACAGCGCCGACGAGGTGGCGCTCTTGGCCAGCGAGTAGTGGTCGTTGTGCTGCAGGTACGAGGACGACTGCTGCTGGTAGGCGTCCAGCTGGGACCTCTGCGGATAGAGCGAGCTGCCCGCGAGCGCGTTGGACCGCCGGCTGCTGCCGCTGTACGAGTCGTGCAGGTAACTAGACCCGGAACTAACTCCCGTTCCGCCCGAGCCCGGCGGCTTGTAGCGATCGAACTCGCTGAGCACCGCGGCGGTCCGCGAACTGGCGCCCTGGTACCGCTGCTGCTGCCGCCGCGCGTCCGCCGCCGCCAGCCGGGCTCCGATCCCGCCGAAGGCCAGGGCGCCGGAGCTGGAGGAGTGCAGCAGCTGGCTGCTCGGCTTGTACTTGGCCAGGTCGTTGTTGTTGCGATCTGAGTGGGGCAGAAAGCGGCTCTTGTTGGTGGTGCCGGAGGAGAGTGCCGTCGCTGCTGCCGGTGTGTGGTTAGAAGGAGCGGAGGTGCTAGTGGATGAGGAGGCTGTGTTCGAGGTGGGGGTGATGTTGACAGAGGAGCTGGCGGAGCTGCTGGTGCTGCCATTGACGGACGGGATCTGTGTCTGTGGTTTGGTGGACGTGGTGGTGGTGGTGTCTGATGTGTGGGTTAGTTGCACACCGGGCACAGCCGAATCCGTCTCGGTTTCCGTCTCCGCCTCTTCGGAGGAGCTGCTGCCCGAGGTGCTTTCGGAGGAGCCACTGCCTTCGCTACCGTCTCTAGTTACTTTTTTGCTGCGCGACTTCTTCTTGGGCGCCTCCAGCGGGGCTTCCGCTGCTCCTGTTGCTGCTGTTGATGCTGCTGCCGCAGTTGCTGCTGCAGTGGCCGCTGCTGCGGCTGCCTCCTTGGCCTTCTTGGCCTCCTGTTCGAGAGCAGCTGCCTCCGCCTCGGCCGCCGCCACTGCCGCTTCAGTCTTCTTCGCCTCCTCGGCCGCCTCCTCCATGCGCTTCACTCGATCCCTCAGCTCGCGGCGCTTGCGCATGCGCTCCTCGAACTTCTTGGCCTCCAGGAACTGGTTGTCCTCGCGCAGCAGCAGCAGAATGGCTGCATTGTCCTCCGAGGAGCGGTCGTCGGCGAGGATCTCCTTCTCCTCGGCGGTCAACTCCGGAGGAGGCTGCTCCTTGCGTCGATGGGCAAAGCGGTTCCTCGAATTGAGCGGGCGATCTTCGGCGGGTGCTGCTGCATTGCGACTGCTGTCGTGGATCTCAGCGGCCAGCAGGCTCTCCACAGTTCTGGTCCTTCCATAGGCTCTTGTGGTCCGTGGCGAGAGGGCTTCTTCCTCGCCCGCTCTTCTTCCATACCGACTGGAGGGATATCCGGAGGCTCCTCCGAGACGCAGGGCGTCGTGGTAATCGTACCGCTGGCCATAATCTAATGGATAGTTCTCGTCGAGCAGCCGATTGCCGCTGGTAAGGTAGCCACTGTCATTGGACTCCGCCATGTAGCGCTGCCTCTGAGCTCGGGTGCGGTAGGGAGTGCGCTCCTTGCGGTCCGAGGCGTTGAAGGAGCTGGACGAGAGCTTCGACTTGGCCAGCTGGTGCGAGGTGGCCGAGCGGAGCAGCCCGCTACTTCCGCCGGCGCCATGGTCGTCCGGCTCCAGCGTCTTGTCGCGATCCTCCTCATGGCGTCGCCTTCCGGCCGCTCTTTCCAAGATGTCCGAGTACTTGTTCTCCAGCCGCGAAATGGCAGACTGCTTGGCTCCCAAAGAGGTCGATGACGTGGTGGGTGTTCTGTCCTTGTCCAAGAGCAGATCTCGTCGCTGCCAGACCAGACGATTTTTGTGGGGGATTTAAGTTTGGATTAAGATTCAGTTTCAGACTCAGATTCAGATTCAGTTTCGGATTCGGGGGTTCAATGGAGAAGGAAAGTGCCCAAAAGCGGCGCTCGTGTGAAACCAACTAGAACGGGGGTAAAACTCTTTACGCTCCACGAAAGAAGAAGACCGAAGACTGAAGACCAAAGACCAAAGACCGTAGACCGAGACCCAGGCCCAGAGTTAGACCCATTTAAATGGCCTTTTCGGCAGTGGCTAATTATGGGGTGCTTGGGCCTTTTCATTTCGCACAATTTCACTGCCATTAAAGCCACTCTATCCGGCTTTCTCCAAGTATTTTGGGTTCGAGGGGCGGTGGGCTGCGGGGATACCCCTTATTTTTATTTAGAATGCCTAGCGAAATCTAAACAAAAAAGTCCACGGCGCGACGACCTTCAAAGTTTATATATAAAGCGGCGGAAAATCGTGAAAATCGTGAATAGCTTTATACACACATCTGCGGCGTACAGAGAGATACAAATATAGCGGAATAGAGAACGGTAGAGGAGAAGCGCTGCGATGTTGGAATCGAAAATAAATTCGACAACGTAAACGCACACGGCAAGAATGAAGCTGAAGATATAGAACGAGCATATAGAAGCGCTATAAAATATAAACGCGCCCGTGTGGGGGCCCCTAGTATAATATCTGCACATATAGCCGAGCTGTGTGGGAAGCAACTTTCTATAGCCAGCGAATGTGGCAATAGGCAATAGGGGTAGCCCCCAGTGCAACACAGTATATATAGTACGTATGTTACCCCTTTAATTGCGCATATCTCCCCGTCCAACCGACTGATCATGTCAGACATGTCACACATTTAGGGCACTCGCTCTTTCGCTGACTCACGGTGGACAGGTGAGATGAGATTTCTTTCTCTGCTTTTCCAAAACAAAATGCCCGGGCAGTGAGTCACGGGTCTCGCTTTTGGGTTTCGGTCTGGATGTGGATGTGGATAGGGGTCTGGGTCTGGGTCTGCTGAGTGGTTTGCACACCGCTCACTTTTGGCTCACTTTCCTCCAAACCGGAGACACTGATACTAACGTCGTCTAGGTCGCGGTCACGCCTTCCGGCCACGCCTCCCAACCCGCGAATGAGAGGCTTGTAGTACCCGCCCACGGGACTCAGGTGGGTCCGCAGTCTGTCCAGGGCGTTGGCCGTGGTGGAGCTCTTCTGGTAGCGACCCATTAGGGCGGCGCTGCCGCTGCTCCCGCTGCTGCTGGGATGGTAGCCCAGTCCGGCGGTGCTCCCGAGTCCTCCTCCCGCATAGTAGCGCCTGTGGCGATCGGCCATCTCCCGATCACGATCACGATCGCGGTCCCGTTCCCGCTCCCGTTCCCTTTCCCGCTCCCTTTCCCTTTCCCCTTCCGGATGCTGTCTCCGGCTGGCCGAGGATTTGTCCGAACTGCGGCGACGTTTGCTCTGCTTTTGGCTCTGACTGCTGGCTCCAACTTTCCCTCTGTTATTATTGCTGTCATTCGTTGGGGTCTTGGAGTTGCTGCGTCTGGGTTTCGAGTCTTTCGGGTCCTCGGCTATCGCCGCCGCACTTGAAAGAGAAGCCCAACAAAACAATGAGTTCTGGCGAGGATTGGTCTTTGCTTTTCTTTGTCTTTCTGGATTCTTGGATGCCGTCTATCCACGCGGTTCGCGACGAACAACGAAGACGGAGAACGCGCTGCCACGACACGGACCAAAATTTAACTGAGCAAAGCTGAGGAAAATTTTTCGGAAAATTCGTGCGACGACGACCAAAGAAAGAGGAAAGAGGCGGCAGATGCGGAGACCGAAGTAGATGAAGGAAATAACGCTGCTGCGGCGGTGGCGGCGGCCAGAAAATATTGAGGAATCGTTTTTATTTTTGTGAAAAGTGTGAAAATATTGCGCACTTGCCAGAGCGAGACGGGGCGAGCGGGTGCGAGCGAGAGCGGAGAGCCCAATAACATATGTAGACGAGTGGGTGGATGGGATAGTGGGTTGGTTGGATGGCTGGTTGGATGCGATTCGCCTCGGATGGGAATGCTTCTCTTCTTTTGTCTGCCAGCTGGGCCATTTGCGGTGCACGCGAGGCACGCTTCATCGGAATGCATTTCACTTTGTAACCTGTGCAATTACGTTTGCGTTCGGGTTTACGTTTACGTTTTCGTTTCGTTTCCGTCAGGTTAGCAGCAAACCGGGAAATGATCGAAAGTCTTCGCAGAAAAAGCCTTGAACTCTCGCCGACAAAACAAGCAGTCAAGTCAAGTCAACAAGAAGAACAATAAAATCGCCGCTGGTTGAGCGGAAAAGAAATAAAAAGAACAAAGCGAAACATTTACGTTTTATTTTAAACGTGCTCGCGTATAAATAATAAAGGAGCATTGCAGTTAAACAAAGAGCAGCGAAAAGAGAGATCGCATACTTGGTGTAATCATGCGTATGAGGAAGAAATCGCCAGACATATGGGAAATCTAGAGAATTTATTTGGTATTCCCCGAAGACAGCTGAAGAGAGATATGAGGAATTCTTCGTCCGCCGAAGAGAATCGCTCGGAGGAGACAGCTGTGAAAGCTTCGGGGGAAGAACTCAAGCTTTTTGTGCAACCAAAAGTTTGGTCGAAAATATTGAACTTTTGTTAGCCTTATAAAACACGTCAGATAGTCGGATTTGGCAAACATTTGGATTTGGGGGCTTTTATGGGAATACTGGAATGCAGGCACAAAGCAAGAGATCTCCACTTGAAGGCAGATCTGGGCCAACTATCCTCCATTTCACTTTCAGTTATTTATCACCCAGCAATTATTCACTCGTTAGATTGACAATTAGAGGCATCCAGCGCAAATAAAACCGACAGGGGAGTGAGTTCGGTTAAGCTCTACTTGATTTACGGCTGGCAATCAAAAGTGATAAATCAAATTTCGACTGGTGGCAGTACTCCCTCCTCAAGCCGTTTCTCCCCCTGGCAATCAAATCGAATCATTCGCGATTTATGGCCGCGAGATTTTCACACTTTTCGAGATCGACGCACTTCACCACTTCAGCTGCCACTGGAAGTTCAGGTGCGTTCGAGTTCAGCGCGATCGCAAACGCAAACGCACTCGAGCCGTTTACATAATTGGCCTTCTTCGCGATGGCCAAAAGGCAGTTGGCCGCGAGGTGGGAAGTGCAGCAGACAAGGCAGACGAGGCGGCGAAGAAATGATCCGATCGCGAGATACTTTCGACCGCGGAGTGACGCGCCGCAACTAAACTCGCAATTACGCGCTGACCACGCTGCTTAAATTCACCATCAGAGTGCTGATGCAGAGAACAAAATCTCGAGACGAGTGAAATGAAAATAGAGGGGAAATTAAACGCTGCTGAGCGAGTTTTGACCGAGTTTTTCGTTTGACGAAAGGCGACGAAAGTAAAAGAAGGCACGCAAAATTAAAAATAAATTATAAATCTTTTGCTTGATTTCTTTTGCATCGATTACCGATTGCGTTGCTGTTGCTGCTGTTGCTGTTGCTGTTGATGTTGCTGCTGTTGATGTTGCTGCTGTTTGTTATCAGGTCGTTCGCTCGGATTGCGTCGAAAGCGCTGCAGCAGACTGTTGCAGCTCTCGGAGAGCAGCTGCGTGACGCTGGCGGCGGTGGCGCTCCGCATGTACCGCCTTTGGGGCCGCTGCTGTACCGCCTCCGCGTCAGCTGTTTTCCCATTTTCAGCGGCCGCCACTGTGGGCAGAATCTTTTCGCTTTTTTCGCGATGAAAACGATTGAGAAATGTGGCCATTTCTTCTTGGCTTCTTCGGAGTGCGGATTTCGGATTTCCTCGCGTGGGTTTTCGTCCGCGATGACGACAATCGGATAATACTTAACACCGCAAAGGGGCTGGTTGTTTGGCGGTGGGTGGGTGGTCGGTTGTACCGAGTACCGAGTACTGAGGACCGTCTGGCCGTTTGAATTTTTGGCGGATCCGGATCGTGCTCTTCCGACTTGGTCGATTTCATTAATTGTACTGATTTCTGGTATTTGTTGGGAGCATGGTTTTGTTGTAGACAAATAAAATAGAATGTATTGTACGTTCTCGGAGTGGCAAGATGTACGTAGAGATCTAGTATAGACAGAGCGTATTTATGTGTAAAAATAATTGAAATTGTAAGAGATTCGGCAGCTTCGACGGAAATAGACACACACAACACCAAAGAGGCAACTCGCAGTCGCCCCCGCCACTGCGACAACTTCGAGTCGGATTTGGAGTCGGAGTCGGAGTTGAATCTAAACCGCACTCTGAATCCCCCACAATTCGCACGCACTTAGAGCCATCCGATGCTGGACTGCCAACGTGCCCCTGGTGATTTTCACAACGCGATTCCTTCACCGATCGCCGAATGCCTGCGCATTGGTCGAAACAAACAAACCGAAATCAGCGCAACATGAACGAAAGCGCACGCCACAAATACTAATTATAAAGATTGAAAATATCGGCGATGTCGAGAACCCGAGCACAGAGCACACGGCCACAGATCCGCGGGAGAGCTCCGCTGAGTGTGCGCCTCTTCCGTTGCTATTATTGTTTGCTGCGACCGAAGGAAGCCAAGAAACTAGCGGGGAGCAAGTCATTAGATCAGGTATGAATGCCTAACGCAATGGAAAATGGTTAAGGGTCACTTATCCCGGGTAAAGGGTCACAAAATCTGATAAAATGCATTCCACCCAAAGTGTTTAAATCAAGCAGGAGGTAAGGGAGTTCTCAATAGAATAGGGTATCCATCAGTCGAGTCGCTTTCCAAGTGGATAAGTCATTTCAGTCGGAGAGCGTGAGAGCAGGTCGTGCTGAGTGTTACATATTTTTAGACATTCGATTCTGCTGATCGCGCTCCGTGTTGTTTAGTGTTTTTTAATTATTAAAACAATTACATCGGGGTCGCAATTTGGCAATAAATTAGTTAAGCAAATACGTTCCGTGGAAGCAGTTAGTGGAAATCCAAAGATTCCTGCCGAAGCACTGCAATCGAGTAAACAAACAACAAGCATAAATTAAGTGGCCAGGGACTATTTTTAGAGCCCGTCCCGCCGCAGAAGAAATTGACATTGAATTTTCCGCAGTCGCCACTCGATTGTGCAATGTTGTCGATGTCGACAAGTGCAAGAGCCTGCCAAGAGGCCAAGAGATCGGACCGGTGCAGACGCCAAGGGGACCGCGGCTAAGGTTGGAGGTAAGCGATAATGTGCTTCTGCTTCTGTTTCTGTTCTTGGGAACGCTTCACACTTGAAACGCCACCGAAAGTACAGGAAGTACAAACTTGGGGGCCGAAACATAAAGCAAGCGAAGGCGAGTGGAAAATCAGGGGGCGCTATCGTCATCATCGTCTTCGTCGGAGGCCTTTTGGAGCCCAACGATGAGTCAGCCGGCTATTTTGGGTGTAAACTTTCTTTGGAAGCGGTTGCATGTTGTTGTTAGTGGGCATTTTCTCAAACATACGAGTATGTGCAGCACAAACACAAGCCACAAGGCACAAGACGAAAATAGGTTCGGGCAATAGAATCTACCTCGATGAAATGCAGTCCCAACGCGGACTTGGACATCTCATTCTGCTGCTGCTGTTGTTGTAGTGGTTGGTGTTGCTGGCTTGAGTGATTGAATATGACAGAGTTGCTTTGTTGTAGCTGCTGCTGCTGCTGCTGTTGCTGTTGCGGTTGCTGCGGTTGCATGTTCGATGACGACGACGCCGGCGACGCGTAAAACAATTGCGTATTTGTATTTGGATCGTATTGAAGCCCGGCCGCACCGCCGCCTCCGCCTCCACCTCCAGCGGAAGCGTTCAGAAACTGCGTATGCGGATGCGGTTGTTGATGTTGATGTTGTTGATGTTGCTGCTGCTGCTGGTACTTGACCGGCTGCATCTGATTGGGCTTGGGATAGGCATACGGATCGAAGGTCTGCAGCGGCTTGCGCTCCGGCTGCTTGGGCACATTGTAGTAGTTCCGACTCATCATGCCCATTCCAAAGCTGGAATGCTGCTGGGGGTGTTGCTGCTGTTGTTGCTGATGTTGTTGCTGATGTTGTTGCTGATGTTGTTGCTGATGTTGCTGGTGGAACTGCAGGGCCGTAGGCCTCTGGGCGGAGCTGAAGGAGGCCGAGTGCGTCAGCGGGCCGCCGATGCGCGGATAGCCCATCTTGGATGGCTGCTGCTGGGGCGCCTGGTAGCCGTACATCTGGGGCATCATCCCGGGCGGCTGCTGCTGCGGCGGCTGGCCGAACTTGTTTTCCTTGTTGGTGTTCTTCTGCAGGAACATGGCCAGTCCCGACTTGGGCGCCTGCTTGGGCACGTGCGACGAGGAGTACGACTGCTGCAGCTTGTGGGGCAGATGATGCTGCTGTTGCTGCTGGGTGTGAGGCAAGTGTTGCTGCTGCATGAAGGGGTCGCTGGCTCCATTCATGGCGGAGCAGGCGAAGCTGTTCCAATTCAAGAAGGGTCTCTTGTGCTGCGGATACTGCTGGTGATCCTGCTGTTGCTGTTGCTGTTGCTGGTGCTGATGTTGCTGCTGCTGTTGCTGCAGCAATCGCTGGTAGCCACCCATGGGCAGCTGAGAGGTAGAGTTCGACTTTCCGATGGGATAGCAGATCCTCTGTTGCTGCAGCGGCTTCTGCGGATCGTAGAGCTGCACTGGCACGGGGATCTGGGAATCGCCCACGTACTTGCTGCTGCTGCTGCTGCTGACGCCGCTCGTCGTGGGGCCTTCGACTGCGCTCTTCGGCTCTTTGTGCTCACTTGTCAGCGACTGCGACATGATTGCATTATTATTGCTATTGCTGGTACTTGTGCTATTGCTGTTGCTGTTGCTGTTACTGTTGTTGCTGCTGTTGTTGCTGCTCTTCAACTTTAGCATGTCGTTCAGACATTTCTCTAGCTTGTTGTCAACATCTTTCTGGCGCTTTGTGACCGCCGACGACGATGACGATGTTGGCACCTCCAAGTTGGCAGCCGACGCCCCACTTTGTTGCTGTTGCTGCTGCTGGTCGCTTGGTGTTGCTGCTGCTGATGATGAGGTTGCTGTTGCCGTGGTCGCTGTGGTTGTGGCCGTGGCAGGGGCGATGTGGAACGAGGAGGTGAACTTGGAGAGCTGCGGCAGGTGGGTGGTGCAACAGTTGGTCACCGTGAAGCTGCTCGTGCTGATCGTGCTGTTGCTCTTCTCCGATTTCCGTTCCAGCGACGCGGAGTCTCCTGGCCCGGACTCCTCGATGGGGGCCACGTGCTGCGGTTTTTGCAGCGGCTGCTGATGCTGCTGCTGCGGATTGCTGCCCTCCTGCGGCCGCCGGAAGAAGGCAGCGGCACAGCGGGGCGAGGGCACACAGGAACTGCTGGAGCTCTTCAGCACTCCACTGGGTTTTTGGACAGCCGATGGAGCGGCAGCCAAAGCAGAAGGTGCTGGTTTGAGTGGCTCCTTCGGTGGAGGTTCCTTGCGGGGTTGAGTCATCAATATCGCCGAGTTGGAGGTGCTCCTGCTCAACGCAGGCAGGTTCTTCATGTAGCAGGGGATGTGCGTCCGACTGGAGGTCCTCAGCAAGGGATTACCCCCGGGTGGACCAACTTCACCAGGGACGTGCGTCATGGAAACGCTCTTCGGCAGCACCTGTGGCTGTTGCACTTGCGGCTGCTGCTTCACCGGCACTCTGCTCACGAATCCCGACCCCGCCGACGGAGACTGCTCGTTGCAGATCAGCTTGTAGAGATCATCCTTGGTCACCGCCTGGCGCACCTTGAGATCCAGGTGGGAGAGCGAGGCGTTCTTCTGCAGCTTGTGGGGATGGTGCTGTGCAACCTGCGACTGCTGCGGTCGCTGCAGCTCCTTCTGAGCCGCCTCAGCCACCGTGGGATCGAAGATGGCCAGCTTCTTGGCCGTCTTGGCATCCACTTTGAAGGGCTGGCCAGCGTCTCCCAGCTGAGCTCCGCATATCTTCTCGTAGTTCCAGAAGGTTCGCTTCGGCGTCTGCCGCTTCTGCGAGCTGGACAGATTCTCGCTCCAGAATTCGTTCATCAGCTGCTTGTTGAGCGACAGATTGGAGCCACTCTGCAGTCCGTTTTTGGCGGGCAGCGGACGCATTGGAGTCGGCGTACTCAGCGGCATGTTGGAACTGGAAATACTGCGCTGCAGCTTGGGTTCCCCCGCAGTCTGTGAGAATATCGAGGGATAGGCCATTCGCGGGGCAACTCCTCCTCTGCTGGGGTTCTGGGCAAAGTTGATGGAGGAGGACTTGGACAGACCCGAGGAGACCGAAGGCACTCCCGGTGCAGCCTTCGCCACGGACTGCTGCGAGTTGGACTTGGCCAGCGGCTGCTGCTGCCGCTTGATCCTGTCGTAAAGATCCTCGCACTCCTGGAACTCCTGGTGCAGCTTCCGGTCCAGCTCGCTGTAGTCGGGCAGGCTCTTCAGATACTTGTTCATCATCTCGATCTCCGCATCGTAGAAGTTCGCGTCCAGCTTGGCGCTGTTCGTGGCCGCCGCCGACTTCTCCTCCAGCTCCTGCTGCTGCTGCAGCAACTTGTCCAGGCTGATTTCGTTTGACGGAGGAGAGGGAATGGCAGCAGCTATCGGCTTGCTCCCGTTCTTTGGAGCCCGACATGGCACCGGCGGAGGTGGCGAGGACGAAGGTGAGCTCGACGAGGACAGCGATATACTCGAGGCCGGACTCGAGGCAATGGTGGCCATCAGACGAGAGTGCAGCGCCGTTGCAGAGGGACTGCTGATCGTTCCCGTGGCCGCATTGTAGGCCAGCGGATGGTGTTTCCGTGGCAGCGGAGGTGTTGACTTAGGACTCGCCGGCAGATGAGGTGGACGACTCTTCCGGATGGCCAACGGCGAGGAGATGGGCGACCGCACGGCGCACTTGCTGTCCGGAATGCTGGACGATAGCACGGAGGCAAACTGCGGTGAGACCACCTGGAAGAACTGCTGTCCAGTGGACACTGGCGGCGGAGTGGGTTTCTGCATGGCTGGCTGGGATTCCTCTTTGGTTCTTAGGTTCGGCGACTGAACGTTGGCGGAGGAAACCGATGGTGGCACTGCAATTGCTGGCTTGCCGGCATCTTCACTCATCTATATGAAACAATCGCGCACTGCGAACCGTTCGGGTTCTTCTATTTAGATATTCGATTTTATCGCGGTTTTACTTGTGATCTGTGTGTGCGTTTTCTATATCTTTTAAATTAACCTTACTGCTCTTAAAACCCAAATATATTCCTAGTTGAGAGTGTAAAGTGTTATCCTAGCGTCGAGGTAAATTCTATGAAACAGATTTCGAACAGAACACAGAGGAGGAAGGAGACACCAAACACCAGACGAACTAGAGACATGACCAACACGACGAGCACGTGGACGTGGACGACGACCAACCTGCAGATACTGCTCCGGTATCTTACTGTTCTTCGGCACCACGATCTTCTTGATGATGATGATCTTGTCGCCCTCGATCTTGGTGATGGTGATGGGCACTCCGGGCATGGGGCGTTGTGGCTTCACGGGCACGGGTTGCTTGGGAGCGGTGCGGATCACCTGCGGACCGGTGAGGATGCCGCCGGGACTTGGCTTCACAGCTGGCGGAGCGGGCTTTGGCTTTGGCTTCTTCTCGGGCACGTGCTCCTTGTGGTCGCTCCGCACGATCGAGAAGCTGTAGAGTGGCTTGTCGTCGTCTAGAATGCTCTTCTGCGGCACCACCTTCTTCTCCACCCTTCGGAGCACCACTCCGAGCATGGGCGACTCCTTGGGCTTGATGGTTATGGATCCGCTGGGCGCCGTCACCCGCTTCAGGCTGACTCCCAGATTGGTGCCCACTGGCGGCGGTGTCTTGGTTCGGTGCACCATCTTTCCGCTGGGGATCTCGCGGTAGCCATCCTCCATTCGCCCGCGACGACGGTCCTCCTCTTGCTCTTGCACAACCTTTGGATCGGGATTGGTGTGCAGCGAGGGTTCAGGAGCCACCAATGGCGAAGGTCCGGGGAAGAGCGAGGTGAGGCTGCTCCGCCGTCGGTTCATGACATTCGGGGCTGATACGGTTTTGGTAAGAGGAAACTTGGTTGCCTGTGGAGCTGGTGCTGCCGCAGCTGGTGGCTCCACCCCGGAGGCACTGGAGGTGCTCCCCCTGCGACTCGCCGCCTTGCTGGGCTGTCGAGAGGCCGAGGCCGAGGCACTGATCCTGGCCGAGTCCAAGCTGCTCATGCTCGCGGAGCTCTGGAGGCGATCGGGAGCGGCGCTCCGTTCGTGATTGCGCTCCGGCGAAACGGAACGCTCGCGGGTGCGATTGTGGGAACGGGCGTCCCGAGCAGCCCGCTGCATTCGCAGCAGCTCGATGGAGTCGGCCAGGTGGGAGGTGCTCTTCTGCGGCGGGGAGTCGTCCTTGGACGAGGCCTTCGGCTGCGAAACACTCAGCAGGTGCATCTCCATGGCATCGTCCATGTTGCTGGGCAGCGAGGTGATCCTCTCCCTGGGTCCTGCATTCGAGGGCAAAGAACCCTTCGTCGGGTGCTCTTCCTCTTCCTCCTGAACCTCTTCTTCTTCGTCTTCAACCTCATTTTCCTGCTCCTTGCTGTGCTTATGCTCCTCCTCCTTTTGCCTCCGCTTCTCGCTCTCCATCACTCGCTGCAACTGGGCCTGCACCTCGAGGGCAGCGCGTGCTCTGGCCTTGGACTCGGCCTCGCGCGCCTGTCGCAGCTGCTCCTGGGCAATGGCCCTGGCTTCCGCTTCCGCCTGCTGCCGCGAGCGGGACTCCGCCTCGGCGGCGGCCGCTGCCCGCAGGGAGGCAAGGTCCGTGGCCGTCATCTGCTTGATGCTCAGGCGGCGCTCCGTGTTGAGGATCAACTCCACCTGGGTGCTGGCGCCCTGCGGCTTCTGGGCCGTGAGGTCCGGACAGCCGAGGGCTATCAGTTCGCTGAGTTCGTTGGACATTCCGTTGGATGGTGGTGGATGGGCGGTGGGCGGTCCCTCCGGTTCGCGGTCAGGTTTCTTTCTGGATCCCAAGGGGAAATGAAAAGTACTCGGTTATCTAATATCGCACTGGCGACTCCTCGAATTGCGATGCGTTCGAATGGCTGGGCGAGACTCGCGAGGCTGCCAGCGCTGGCCGCAGAGGAAACCTGCGCCAAATCGGATCTGGTCGTATTAGCTATGTTCGGATTAGATCGGATCAGATCGGATCGGATGGGAACAATCGATCGATCGATCGCACGCTCAATGTCAATGTCTCATTGGCATTTTGGCAAATGGCCGGCGACTTGACTTACTAATTGCAGCAATGGTCGTCATTCGACCAAAGACTTTTCCTCTGCGGGGGTACAAGCCCATAGCCACCCCCAATTTGTTTTGGTGTATGGCGCACATACGAATTACAAATCGCAGCAATGAGCTCACTGATCGCGGCGCCGCCTCACCGAGAAAGCCCCTTCGCCCCTTCGAGACTCTAGCCAAAAAAACCTGCACCTTGCCCCAGATATATGGCGATGTGAATATGAATATGCGGACGGATCCCTGGAGAGATCGTTTTGGCCGATGTGTGATATCTCGGTGGGGTTCATCGGGCGTCTTTTCCCCCTGCGATTCTGTGTTCCGTTCGAAATCTGTTTTTATTTTTAACAAATAGACGACGACGCACGTAAATTGGCGCAGCCGGGCGCTATACCTAATGCTCAGTACTCGGTTCGTGTGACGCCAGTGGTGCCAGTACAGTGATTCCTCAGTCAGCTTCTGCGGTCACAGCTTTAATTTAGATTACGCATCTCTGATTATCGCACTCGACTTGATTGCATTTTGAATTCACTTCGGTTTTCCATTAGTTTTCCGATCTCCGCTGATCTGGATCTGCTGATCTCTGGCTTAGCTTTCACTGTACCGAAGCACATTCACATGGGCGCACACATGCGAGTGTGTGATGGGAAAAACTTAGGGGAAAACTTTTCCACCCCAGTTGACTTTTATTTTGGTTCGCATCATATGGCCAAAATTGTACCATACACAAGTTTGTGTCTTGGATTTTCGCTACAAGTTTGTTGTGGCAACTAAATATAAATGCAAGCCTTACGAAAATAGCTTTCGAAAATTATACAAAACGCCAGCTAAACAGAAAAGCGGACGATGGAGGATGGCGGATGGCGGATGGCGGATGGAGGAGGAGGATGGAGGGCAGCGGCGCAGATCAACATGATGATGATGTGGCAGCCCGATGAATAATCCCCGCCGATCCGTGGCGCACATACATATATCACTATAGTTTGTATCTATGTGGGGTACTCACACTAACGGACACACACGTGTGTGCTCCATTTGTTAGTTTTGAGTTTTTGTTTTGATTTGCTTGGCCGCTGCGTTGTCTTCTTCTCCTTCACCTCCGCGTACACAGAGAAAATATTATAACCATTTAAGCAAACATTGAACAGTGCCAAAATGATATTTTTTTTTTTGTAAGACTAAGGTATTCAATCTAGCATCTACTTTCATAAAATTTGCTTGACATAAAGAAACCTCTGCAGCAAACAGAGTTCCATAAACTTGTGTAATTAAATAACTGCCAATTAATATTTTCTGTGTATTTGGATGAGTGAATGTTGCACTGGCCTCCTCTATCCATCCGCTTTTCTATTATAAGTATCTTTCGCCTCGCTAATTGCAAACTTGATGGAAAAGTGCAAAGTTCACTATCAGCGTTTTGGACGCCTCACAGCTGCTCGACTCCCATCCCAGTTTATATGGTTTATAATATTCCGAATTATTTACTCGCCACCGTTTGCGGGGGGTCAATAAAACAGTTTGGCTCTGGTGTCTTGCATCGCGCTTTGTTTAAACAAATTCAGACCGACGAATTGAATATCGCGCACTTTTTTAACACTCTTTGTGTTTTGTTTGATGTTTTTCGTTTTCGACAATTTTCTTCTTGCCGCTGCTAATGTTTTATTTTTAAAACACTTAAATGTTCTAAGTTTTGGGTTGGTTTTTTGGTTTTTGTTTTTTGTTTTTCGGCTGATTATGTCACGGTGCCCAGCAATTGTTTTGGGACTGCGTTCCTTTTTCTACCTTCCTCTCGGCCTGAAATGCGTTTCGGCATTGCACATACGCCCAGTGTGTACCTCTAAATATTGTTCAACTCGGTAATTTGGTGTTCCTGAGCCAAATACAAAAAATAATCAAAAACACAGAAACGCACACACAGCACACACATATCGATAAACAAAATGCGCGAAAGGAGACGATCGATATAGAGATCGGATCTGCGGATCGGTGGACCAGGGGGATATAGTCTGCGGGCGAGGGGGTCTCCGTACCGTTACACGACGAAGACGAAGACGAGGCGACGACAACGATATATAGTTTATATGGCAGCAGTGGCGGCGACACACAGCCAACAAACGAAGATTTCAATCTGTTTCGGCTTCCCAAATTTTGAAAATTCTCTGCCGAAAAGTGCTCGCAGGCAGAGAAGAGCGCAGACTTTCTGCGGCGCGTGTATTTATAATTTTCCGATGGTTTTTTAGAGCAAATGGCAAACACACACGTCCCAAGAAAACGTTTTCCGCCGGATGAAGCTGCGCGCGCATCTCGGAGAAAGGAGAAGCATCAGCTGTGCCAGAGGCACATGCGCAGTTCCCGGAGAGGAGTCCCCAACCCAAGGCGTCGCTCTCAGGAGCCGACAAGTATATATACAGATATACGAGGGATATAATCAGGCGAGAGAAAGCCCTGTGCAAATATGGTGTGTATAGCTGGGGTCAAAATAGTAGCACTGCCTATAAATCATCTACTTCCATCTTGCGACTAAATAATATACGTTAAATAAGGGAATTGTTAATTTTTATGGTTGAACAAGAAAGGAAGCCAGCTTCGGCAAGCCAAAGCTTCTATACCCTTGCAGTCATTAAATATGTCAAACAAAATACATAAAGGATAAACAACATCGAAGCTTTGAAGATTTTTCTATTTATTTTCCACATTGTCCATATGACAGCTATATGATATAGTCGTCCGATTTTGATGAAATTTAATTTGAAACTCAAGACTTATTAGAAAACTATATGTTCCAAAAATCATGATGAAAAACAACGAGGTAATCATTTTATTTCAGTTATTTCTATATAGATTTTTCGATCTTTCCTATGGCAGCTATATGATAGAATTTATCTGATTCAAGAATATTTATGGGGTCTCCTTCACTGCGTTGCAAACTTCTGACTGAAATTAGAATACCCTTTGTTCTGCAAGGGTACAAAAATTATAGGATAAATGACTCTTCTTGGCTATTTCTTGAAATTAAACACAAGCACTGCTATTATTTCGGTCTAAGGCGTAAGTTTCTTTGAGTGAGCGCAGAAAAGAAGGGCCGACCATGCAACAGACAAGACAACAAATGACACCACTCGTCGACGATCTCAGATTCTCGGATTCGAGTGACTCACTAGGTAGTCGTCATTGTGGTCCACGAAGTACTCCTCGACGATCCAATTGTCGCCGGCGTACTTGTCCACGGGCAAGTCGCAGAGGGCCACCAGGTCGAAGTGGTTGCGCTGCCGCTTCATCATCAGGCAGCGGGTTACGACCACGGAATCCCCGTCGCCGGGGAATCCCTCCTCCTGATCCTCCAGCCCCAGATCCAGGCCGCAGCCATTCGCCTTTTTGGCCGCATGCTGGATGATGAGCTGCTGCTCCAACTGCCTGAAATACTGAATCTTGACGGCGCTGAACGATGACGCGGTGGGAATTCTATGCGCGTTACTCAGCCCACTTAATTGGCGGCGACATGGGCAACTGGCAAAGCTGGCGAGGCATCATCCGCAGCAGCACCAGAGGCACTATCTCATCACATCTCAGAGAAGAGGAGAAGCCTCTGGCCGCCGTCAACGAGTTAATGTCAAATGATCAATTGAACGAAAATAACTGGGACAGCGGGGAGTGCTGGGCAGGGGGAACCGCGAAGAACCACCAACAGTGAATGGGAACTATAAAGATCTGGTTTAATTAAGAGCTATTTTTCCATATTGCGCGATGGCACGAAGATCGCATAGGAATAGCTTCATTTCTACATTTGCCAAGGTTTCGCTTTACTGCTCTATTTAAGTGCCGCTTTAACAGCGCTTCCTCTTTTCGCTATTAACTGCTTAGAAAATTAACGGCCCTCCTTTAATTGCTTTCATTTAATGGATCACTAAATTCGGTTAGGTATGCTAATATTCGATGTGGCTACTGTGTCGCTTTATTTAAACTGTCAATACTTCATGGGCACTTAATTACACCATGCTGATTATTTTATATTTCCCCAGTGCAGAGGGCACACTCCATTTAAGATTCCTAGTTTCAACACACACGCTTTAAGGCCTTGCTCAACGTTTAACTTTGCTCCAAGTACTATCTTATCAACACCACTCGCCTAGATCTGAAGTGCCTGGGCAGTTGGAGCCCTGGAACAAGCATTTCCATATTCCGCGGTATTTTAATTCTTGAATACTGATTACAGCGAGTTACTCATGTAATCACTGTGCCACAAAGACCAAGAACCCGAGCAATGTGACACAACTAATGACAAATTTAGCTCAACGCGCATAGATAAGAAAGGAGAGAGCGAGCGAGTGCAATGGCGGAGGATCGTGATAGCTGATCAGTGATCGCCTCACAGATCCACTCGACTTGTAATCAAGAATCGTACACACACACTCAGAAGGCGGGCAACATGTGAGCGATTAGGTTAGTCAAGAGTCTATGGTGGGTGGTCGGATCGATCGATGATGGCTGCAAGGGGACACAAGCTCACTAGGTAGTCGCTGTCGTGGTCGGCAAAGTACTCCACCACTATCCAGTCCTCCGTGTACGGCACGAATCGCAGGGAACAGCTGGCCAAGATGAGGTCGCGACAGTGATCTACGACCGGAGGAGCCGGCAGGTCACGCATCTTGATGTAGCACGGGATCTGGAGGCTCTCGAAATGGTCGGCCACCTGCTGCGACTTTTCAAGGTACCGCTTGAAGAACAGCATTTCTAAGCGGGATACTATACACTATATCCTATATTCTAGAACCGATCAATCGAGCGGCGCAATGCACAGGGACATAGAAACGCAGGCGTTGGTTAACTGAAACACATTCGTCGAATCGGTCCGATCGTTCGGTTTATGTACAAGTATATCTGTCCACTTATATGTTCTTTTACCACTTTGTTTTGCTTTTCAGCTTTCGTCTTCAATTTTCTTTAGTTTGTCTTTTGGTTTTCCGTTTTTCGTTGCCCTGCCTACAATTTTCACTTGTTTGCTATGTGTGGGGTGTATAAAATGAAAAGTTTTTACCTTAGCCTGCGACTGGCGGTTGTTGCGCCCACTGTCGCGTTCGTCCTTGGCGCGGTCGCGGTGCCGCCGGCGGGAGCTCGAGTGGGAGGTCTCGTCCCTGTAGCGGTACTTGTGCTGCCGCCGACTGGCGGCCGGCGACTTGCGGTGCGACCGCTTCGAGCGCTCCTTGCGTCGGCGGGAAGAGATGCTGTCATCGAAACTGCAAAGATAAAGAGAAAGAAAGGTGTCCGGTTAGTTTTCGGCGGTGTCGAGAACTGTTACTGTTACCCAACCGCGGATGAATGGCCGTCCTTGGAGCAACGCCCAGCCAATTGGACAACATGGAAAGCTACTTAGCTGAGATACTCGCACACACATCTACTCAGCTACTCAGCTACTTAGCTGCTAAGCCGCTCCACGCTCCACGCTCGCCTTGCCGCCGGATTCTTAGGACCGGCAAGCGAATGAATGCGAGACGTGTGTTGGCGAGTCGGTTTTGCGTTACCAATCAAGTTAATCAACTCGGCCGGATGGCTACTGCCTCAGCTGTTGGCTATCTGGCAGCGGCAGCGGCCCACCTTTGCCGCCGGTCAAATGCCTTCGAGAGTACTTCATGGTTCGCGGAGTGACACAGAGCAGTGGTGAGCTAGCTGAACCCTTGGCTCTGGGCGATCGAGGCCAGAAACTGTGTCAATAACATCGGTAGCGCATGTTCGTGCTCATGTTACATCCACTCGGCTCTCAAAAACCACACCATGCCACACCACACCCACCCTAAAAAGACCAGACACCGCGATTCAGAAGTGCGGGTGGGCAGAGATCTTGGCATGAATCAGCTGATCGCTGGAGATAACTGACCTATGCAGCCAAAGCTGAAGCTTAACATGAAGCCACTACCAAATCCAAGATCCAAGAAGTCAGCGAGCTATATGCTAATAAGGCAAACCAGCTCTCATTGAGCGATTACGAAAATTTTTGTCGGTTGCGCTAGCTGCTCAATGCTCACTGATCGCCCACGTGGCCCCCAAAAAGCATCTAAATTTGGGCACAAATTATGAGAAACACAGAACAGAGCTGAACTGAAGCTGAAAGTGACTTTGGCCACAAGTACACTCGGTCGTTCGCTAGTTCCGACCTGCATCGGTGTATCTATTATACAACAAAGCTCAACGCCTGCGCACCCGCCAAGAAAACTACTTGAGCGCACACGCTTTGTATCTTTGTATCTGGAGGCAGGCACCTCTCCGTATTCCGTAGGCAGGAAAGAGACACTTGGCCAAGAAACGAACTGAATTGAACCTATCGCCGATCTCTGATCTCCGACTGGCGTCTGTCGCGGAAAAGCCGCTTACGGCCTCGCGGCACCTAATATAACATAATAATAAAAGGAACACAACTCCATGGTAGCCAAGCTCTTTCGGCGTTTTGATTTATGATTGATGACGCGCTGCGTGCAAATTAGAACAGCTTTTATGGCCAACTGTAATTGGATATTAATGATTCGTCGATTCACATTCAGATTCCGATTCAGCTCCAGATCCAGAGTCCGATTTCGAGAAACAGAAGAGTGGGAGGGGTCGGCGGGTAGGAAGCGAATGGCAAAGCCAGTTCATAATAGCTGCCCAATTTGGACCGGAGCATTTCAGATCGGCGTTGTGTAAGGTAATTGGCTTAATATTTCACTCAAGGCAGCCGAACGAACAGGTCGAAAGCTTGACTAATAAAAACCACATAAAATATTATCTTTGACCTAAAAGAACGCGAGCAAGGGGTTCAGTGCGACTACCATAAACATTGCCGAGGCAAATGTAAACAAAGGGTTTGGTCGATGTCACACGAGGAAAGCTCTGATATGGGCGTGCATGAGATAAGATATCTTGGGAAATAGTTTCCTAAAATATGATAGTATGGTAGCTATGTTCCCGAGCCGATTATCTCCTCGGTTGATCTTCGAATAATCGTAAGAATTCGACCGCTTTATTGCTCGCCGAGGTAATAAGTTATGACAGTCTGTGGGAACCCAGATAAGATACGGCTAGGGCACCAAATAAATACAAACTTGCTTGGACTGAAGGGGTTACAAGAGGCTATTCCCACCACAAAACAATCGGACGAGTTGTTGATAATTTCAAGGATTGAAAAATCTTTTTATTCCAAGCCGCCACATGAGGCAATTCAACGATCGCGCCCATATTTATAGAGTTCCTCATTCGCGGACTGCCCTTGAGGATTTCGCCAGCTCAGGCACACCGGGGTTTCTATATTGTTACTTTTCTCTGTTGGCCTCGACTTTTCGCGGGCACACAGATGAGACAACAACTTTATGGCCAGGCCAATCCCATTTCTGGCCTTATCATTCCCCACATGTGGACACCGTTTCCTCGAGTGATTGGGACGACCTTGACCAATTCTTGCTGCCAACTTGGAATTTATGCATCCACAACGGACAAGAGAACCCCCTCCACGCAGTGAATGCCGCAATTAACCACCAATAAACACCATTGTGTTGGCCAACTTCCCTAATGGCCTGCAATTTGTACGAATCATGTACACTTTTTCGACTCCAAGATGATAAGGAATCTGCGACAA